TGGGATAAGAGGGAAGATCCTTTCATGGATTGAGAACTGGTTAAAAGATAGGGAACAAAAAGTAGGAATAAATGGTAAATTTTCAGAGTGGAGAGCGGTAACTAGTGATATTCCCCCAGGGCCAGTCCTAGGACCAATCCTATTCAACTTATTCATAAATGATCTGGAGATAGGGCTAAACAGTAAGGTGGCAAAGTTTGCAGATGATGCTAAACTGCTCAAGATAGTTAAGACCAAAGCAGACTGTGAAGAACTTCAAAAAGATCTCACAAAACTAAGTGATTGGGCAACAAAACGGCAAATGAAATTTAATGTGGATAAATGTAAAGTAATGCACATTGGAAAAAATAACCCCAACTATACATACAATATGATGGGGGCTAATTTAGCTACAACTAATCAGGAAAGAGATCTTGGAGACATCGTGGATAGTTCTCTGAAGACGTCCACACAGTGTGCAGCAGCAGTCAAAAAAGCAAACAGGATGTTCGGAATCATTAAAAAAGGTATCGAGAATAAGACGGAGAATATCTTATTTCCCTTATATAAATCCACGGTATGCCCACATCTTGAATACTGCGTACAGATGTGGTCTCCTCATCTCAAAAAAGATATACTGGCATTAGAAAAGGTTCAGAGAAGGGCAACTAAAATGATTAGGGGTTTGGAACGGGTCCTATATTAGGAGAGATTAAAGATGCTAGGACTTTTCAGTTGGGAAAAGAGGAGACTAAGGGGGGATATGATAGAGGTATATAAAATCATGAGTGGTGTGGAGAAAGTGAATAAGGAAAAGTTATTTACTTGTTCCCATAATATAAGAACTAGGGGGCATCAAATGAAATGAATGGGCAGCAGGTTTAAAACAAATAAAAGGAAGTTCTTCTTCACACAGCACACAGTCAACCTGTGGAACTCATTGCCTGAGGAGGTTGTGAAGGCTAGGACTATAACAAGGTTTAAAAGAGAACTGGATAAATTCATGGAGGTTAAGTCCATTAATGGCTATTAGCCAGGATGGGTAAGGAATGGTGTCCCTAGCCTCTGTTTGTCAGAGGGTGGAGATGGATGGCAGGAGAGAGATCACTTGATCATTACCTGTTAGGTTCACTCCCTCTGGGGCACCTGGTATTGGCCACAGTCGGTAGACAGGATACTGGGCTGGATGGACCTTTGGTCTGACCCAAAGGTCTGGCCATTCTTATGTCCTTATGTTATGTTCTAAAGAGGATGCCTCAGTCTCCATGCCTATTCAGTCCTTGACCCCACTCCTGAGACTGTTAGCAAGGGTGCTAGTCACAGTGGTGATCTTAATGATCTGAACAGCTGTTCTGTAGGAACTAGAATGAAATCACCAATTCATTTCACATAGGACACAGCCATTTCACACAGGACAATGAGCAACCAGTATTTGTTTACTACTAACCTGCGCCAGTTTTGAACTGGAGGTGAAAAGCGCTACATAGTAGCGCTTTTCTTAAATAAATGGCTAATTGAAAATATTTTGCTTCATAATGAGTGTCACATACTTTAAAGTTCTCTCCAACAAAGAAAGAAAATTATTGCCTTGTAAAGTCTCACTGTTTTTTAAACTGTGCCATAACCCAATTCCTCTCTCATTTCTTTCCAGAGGGGTGAGCTACAATGTGCACTGGAAAGTGTTCAAAGTGCATTGGGGTCGTGTTGTTCCCATTAGCTGTATGTGCCATAATCTCCAATCTTCTCCTGTATTTCCCCAATGGAACTGTTATAAAGCCCGACCAGATAACTGATTTGGTTTGGTTTTTCCATGGCATTCTTGGAGCTGGGATACTGGTAAGAGAGAAGTTTTGTCATTGTTGTTGTTGTTGTTTTAATTATTTCAGCTTTTTAAAGCTTATCAATGCCTCTGTCAATTCCAAATAACAATCCATGGGGGCTGTCTTTACATTTGTAGATGACACAACTTATCTGTGGGGAAAAGTCTAAAACTATCTGGGGTCTAAAACTGAAAAGGCAGATTTCCAGAGGACTAAGGGGAAATCACCTATATACAAAAATATAACTTCTTTATGAAAATCCTGGTATACAAAGAAATTCAAAATTCCAATTATTAGAGGAAACAAAAACGTTGGCTTTTCATTATTTATGTAGTAAACACACACACAAGTTTCTTTGCTGTTCACATTGAGGCTCAATGTGTAAATTCAGCTTCGGGTTGTAAGTTCTCACATGTATTGAGTTGTGTTGCCTTGTTGCTCCTTTCATTGATTTTATTCTCACCTTTCATGAGGCACTGAAGCTTGTTTGGGCTTGCCCTTATTGGAGCTGTTGTCAAAATCAAGTAGTGCTGAACTGCGCCTCTATTTTGTGAGCACTGTTTGAATTCCAAATAGCTGTTATGAAAATGATTGAACCTATTTTTCTTTTGGTCATTTTTCTGTGAACATGTGTGTGACCAGGTATTTGTCCACATGCATGTTTGGGGAATGCCTGTTCTTTGTGTGAATTCCCATAGTTGTATATGCATTGTGTTCAAAGAGATCATATGAAGTGCTTGTCCTTGTCTATACATTTTCAGTTATGCAATCAAGGAGCAGGAAAAAAAAGCCATGCAACCGAGGTGACCAATCATATACCACAAATAATGAATAGTAAAGAGTCTAAGTGAATAGACCACAGACATTAAATAGGCTGTCATCTCCTCACATAAAGGAGGAGATGAAATGTACTCCTCACTGAATATTTATGAACAATAAATCCATAAAAATCAAAGTCTGTTCTCAGTAAGGCCCTGATCCAAAAGCCACTGAAGTCAATGGAAAAACTCCTATTAAGTATAATGGGCTTGGATCAGGCCCATATTTCACAAACAGAAAAATGAGTAAATTCTCTGCTATGAATAGCTTGCCTGGCTCTTCTTGTATACCATCCACCTACTCGATAGGCCTATCCCTCATGCTGAGCCTGGATGTATGAACAGGGAGTCTGAACAAAGCTGAAAATTGTACCACAGGTACTTGTGAAAAATTCAGACCATTCCAAGCCCAAGGGCCACTGGCTTTCAATGAAAGAAAAGACTAATGTTCAGCATGAGAGCCCTGTGTCATGTTCAGAACATGACTTCTCTTAAGGGTTCTAATAAGGCTAGGCTGTGGCCAGGATGGTGCGCATCAAAAATGGACACTGCGAGGGGAAGAGGAATTTGCACTGATCTCCAAAACACTGACAACAGCACTATGAGTAGTTTTTGATCAGCAAAATAGTGCTGTTAAGTGTATGAGTTTTCCATGAAATTATGTGATAGACTGAGAAAGAGATGTGAATAGACAAAGCGTGGGAGAAGGGGAGTATTATCCCCACATGCCAGCAAGGGATCTGAAACATGAAGAAATTAAACAACTTGTTCAAGGTCACACAGAAAGTCAGTCTCACACTGGGAACTGAATCCAGGTTCCTGTGTACCATGCCAGTGCCTGAACCACAAGAACAATCTTCCCATTTAGTAGCCAGCTTTGGCTCATTTCAACTTTGCTCTCTCCTTGTCTCCCATGGCTGCTTTTTAAAAGACATGCCCTTATAAAAACAGAACAGAGAACTTTATTTTGCTTAAAACCCGTCAATTTCCTTATTTTGCAAATTCAGACATTTAAAGAAAGGAAGAATGACTCATTTGTTATGAGTACTCGATGCTGCAAACTCATCATGAGTCAATCTGCGCGTAGAATGGCACCATTGTGAAGTGACTGAGCCCCATCTAACACATAGACCCTACCTCATTGACACCAGCGTACTGGCAAATTTTCATTCTAACCCCAAAAGGCAGGAATTACAGATGCTCAAAAAAACGAGACGCAACAAACAAGCCCTGCACTCCAAACAAATGAACTTGCTCCAAGCAGAGACAAAATAGCCCACTCACAGACTGGCTAGGAGGCCTTCAAGGAAAACAAAGGTAGTGAGGGAAGCAGGGCTGCTGATTCAGTAGATGGCACTCTTGACTCTCAGTCAATACTCTAAAATGGCTGAGCAGGGTACTAGAGGACACTATGTTGCTGGGGTTGCACTGTTGACTACCTCATTGCACTTTTCGCAACAGGAGGATTTTTTAATCCCAATGTCCTAGCCAAATTCCAGCAGAAGTATTTTCATTCTGTTCACATAAATTCCCCACTGAGGTTCAGTTACAATGGACATTATATTCTTTGCTTTCTGCCCATAGCACTGGTGAAAGTGTTGCTATGAGCTGTTAAAGGGGCACTGTCAGGCTGAAATCTAGTCAATTAAAAAAAAAGATTTAATAGTAGTTTCAAGTACTCCATCTGCCTCCGAGTCCGTCTTTCTTTCCATTCCCTGGTTTGACAGCCACAGTTAAATGCTTTTCTCTCCCATGTTGCTGCATGGAAGAGTTACCCAAAAACAACAGCGGACTCAGCTGTTTTATGAACACAAAGGGCGATTCTTTATGCTGGTTACTGGACACAGACAGACCGTGTAGTTCTACAACCAGTGTTGTCTAGGGCAGTGTTTCTCAAACTGAGGATCCATGAAGGTATTCTAGGGGGTCCGTGGGCCCCACTGATCAACTCTTCCCCCTTCCTCCCTCAAATCCTCCCCGTCCCTCCCAGCACCTCTTGCACACCAGAGAACAGCTCTTCCCGCCCCCCCACTCCCCGCCCTGGCGTGCAGGAGGTGCTGGGAGGGAGGGGAAGGAGGGAGGATGGGGGCGCTTGGGGGAGGGGGTGTAAAGAGGCAGGAAAGAGGAGGGGCCCGGGTGGAGCAGGGGCGGGAAAAGGTGAGGCAGGGGTAGGGCCTTGGGGGAAGTGGTGGACTGGAGGTGGGGCCTGGGGCTGAGCGGGGGTATTGGGGGTCCCCAACAAAATTTTAAAATCAAAAAGGGGGTCCTCGGGTTACTAAAGTTTGAGAACCGTTGGTCTAAGGAGACTCTATGTGGCATGATAGGACATCCTGCCACGGCACAGTCATGGACGGGACTGCTGGCTACACCCTATCAACTTGCCTCCAGCTAATAATTACCAAGGATCAAACTAAGCTGAGCTCAGAGAGTGTTGACTGAGTGTCGTTTGCACCTTCCTGTGGTCTAATACAAAAGGTCAAATTCAGGGATGATGAATAAGATGGCGCAATTTAAATTCCCTCACTCTAATTTAGGACCAGATTCTCAACTGGTGTAAACTGGTGTAGTTCCACTGAAGTCAATGGAGCTACATTGGTTTACACTAGCTGTGAATCTATCGTTTAGTCCTCTTAATACTGTACTGAACTTCCTTCGAGTCAGTTGGAATACCATAGAGCTACCTAAAGTCACTCTTCCAGTGCGCAAGAGAGTCTCAGTTCGTGTAATATACAGTGAAGAGCCAGAAGAAGCTAAAGTAGCTTAATCCTATGACCCCCCTTAATTCACACATTGTTGTCCAACTAAAGCTGAGTACGCGGAGACCTCACACATTCATTCAATATGTTCTTAACTTACAGGTTATTTTGCCAGCGTTTATGATGCTGGGCGCAGGTGGAGCTGGATGTTGCGCTAACAGATGTGGGGTAAGCAACAATTTACATGCTGAAAAGGGCAATCACTGTGATCCGTGAACAACAGCCCTTAAGTGGGAGCTGAGCAGATGGAAAGGCACAAAGCACACAACCACTGACAGTCCAATCCCCCCAATACAGAAATAAGGCTTGACTTGCGGAATCCCTGTGCTTGGCCTATGATTGATTGACCCCATCACAGGAGCAGCCTCATCTAGCAAGCAAGAATGTTAATATATTGGAGCTGTTTATATAAACTACACCTCTACCTCGATATAAAGCTGTCCTCGGGAGCCAAAAAATCTTACCATGTTATAGGTGAAACCGCGTTATATTGAACTTGCTTTGATCTGCCAGAGTGCGCAGCCCCGCCCCCCAGAGCACTGCTTTACCGCGTTATATCCAAATTCGTGTTATATCGGGTCGCGTTATATCGGGGTAGAGGTGTAATACCGATCCCAAGGACAGATTTGGGGCATTTAGCCACAATAATAAGTAGAATGGAATGGGACAAAGCAGCACTACCCCACTCCATGTGGAACAAATCACTGCTCCAGTTTGCTGGTGAACAGGGGTAGTTGGCAAACTATACCATCCTCTAGGGTGGCACAGCCTAGCCCCTTTCCTGTGGCTGTTCATGTGAGGACAGTGCCAGGGTCTCATGCCTCATGATGCAGAAGTAACATACCATAAAACTTCTTTGCTATACATCATAATGCACAAGGAGGCCAAATTAAGAATTGCAACCTCAATTCTGGCATTTCCTAATTTCTGAGTGCTTCACGTTTCAATCTTGAATGTAAAGTTTTTGTAGCTTCCTACGTTTTTAAAAAAGCAAGCTGAAAAAAAAAACCCAGAAATTTCATCATGTGGAACCATAATAACCTCCACATGTTTCACCAATAGGTTTGGAACCTTTAGATCTACAACACAAAGCTCTGCCATTTGACCTAAGGCAGTAACCAATAGCAGTAGTAGGTTGACATCCTCTATGTAGATCAGCCACTCAAGGAAAATAAGACACATTTTACCAGTGGGTTTTACAGATATTTGCTGACAGCAGAGAACATTGAAACTCAGGAATCCCAGGTTCGATTCCATGTTCTGAACTGGAGAGTTCTCTAGTGGCTAAAGACCCTTCCCTTTCTGCCCCTTCCTGTCTTAGTCTTCATCTCCCTCCCCAGCTTTTGTAAGTCTCCACCACAAAGCTACTTTCTTCTCCTCCACCACCAGTGCAACTGGAGCATTAAGATCACTGGACAGACAATCTTCCTGGTGGCACCACAGCAGCCCCCAGTAGCTCAGAGGGGCAGCTGCAGGGAAATTCCTGCTCAGCCCTTCAGCCCCAGCATGGAGTATGCTCAGTCATGGTGGAAAAACAATGTATTTTCCCTAATGTTGTTCCTGGAATTGGCTGAACCATTTTATCCAAAGCTTTCTAATAAATAAATCCAGGCTGAGCCAGACACCCCACATGAAAATTTTTATCCTAAATGGTTAAAGTTTGGCAAAGTTATAAGCAACCAAAACTGCATCTTATAGCAGGAAGTATTAGGCAACCCTAATTAAAGGCACCACGGGTAGCACCACTTATAAAAGTTTTCCATATACAAACAGCAACCAGATACTTTTAGATTATTAAAAGTGGCTGGCTGAGGGAACCCAGGAGATGCAGTGAATCAGTCTTATGGGCTGCCACCACTGGCGGATCTGCTATGGAACCCCAGACAATTAAAGCCATCAAGGAGTAAACACCAGGGAAGGAGAAGAACTACTTGAGCTAAAGGACAGTGCTAATGTAATGCCGGTCATTGGTGGGTGGGATCGAACCAGGGGCCTCTAGGAGTTTAAAGCATGAGCCTCTACCGCATGAGCTAAAAGCAACTGGCTCTTAGCTAAGGCTGAGAGCAGACTCATTAATTGCTCTGTAAGTGGTCTTGGTGGCACTAGATGGGACAGAACACCACACCCAGAAGGGGTGTGGGTTACACTAGCACTAGAACAAATGGGTATAAACTTACCATGAATAAATTTAGGCTGGAAATTAGAAATAGGTTTCTAACCATCAGAGGAGGGAGGTTCTGGAACAGCCCCCCCAATAGGAATAGTGGGGGAAACAATGTAATTAGTTCTAAAATAGAGCTTGATAAATTTATGATTGGGATTATCTGATGGGGTTGCCTGAAAAAGCAGGAGACTGGACTCGATGACCAAGGAGGTCCCTTCAGGTATGAATCCATAAATTTGGGGGTCATACTCTATGACAGGTGAATTGCTAATATAGTACCTATTTTTAAGAAAGGGAAAAAAGTGATTTTGGAAATTACAGGCCTGTTAGTTTGACATTACAGCCTACAATGGGTCATACTGAAAGGTGAACTGTCAGGCTGGAGGGAGGTTACTAGTGAAGTTCCTCAGGGATTGGTTTGGGGACCAATCATTTAACATTTTCATTCATGACCATGGCACAAAAAGTGGGAATGTGCTAATAAAATGTGCAGATGACAGAAAGTTGGGAGATATAGCCAATACGAAAGAGAACCAGAATATCATACCAGAAGATTTGGAGGACCTTGAAATTTAATAGTGCAAAGTACTAGGTCATGCACTTAAAGACTACAGTGAATATTTCTGCTATAAGCTGGCCTCATATCAGTTGGATGCAACAGAAGAGAGGAAAGACCTGGGTGTGGTGGTTGATCCCAGGACAACTATGAGCCGCCAATGTGATGCAGCCATGAAAAAGGCTAATGCAATCCTAGGGTGCATCAGGTGAAGTATTTCCAGTAGAGATAGGGAAGTGTTATTGCCATTAAAAAAAGTCACTGGTGAGACTTCATCTGGAATGCTGTGTGCAGTTCTGGTATGCCATGTTTAAGAAAGATGAATTCAAACTGGAACAGGCACAGAGAAGGGCTACTAGGATGATCAGAGGAATGGAAAACCTACCTTATGAGAAAAGCTTGGCTTGTTTAGCCTAATAAAATGAAGGCTGAATAGAGATATGATTCCTCTCGAAATACATCAGAGAGATAAATACCTGGGAGGGAGAGGAATTATTTAAGTGCTAATGTTGATATAACCCATGCCTCTTGGGTGTGGTGCTCTTTGCCCCTCTAGTGGCACCTAGATCACCTAGAGATTAATGAGTCTGCTACAGCCTTGGCTAGGAGTTTTTAACTCATGCAGTAGAGCAGTGGTCCCCAAACTTTTTACCTCACGTCCCCTCTTACCCCTGTCCTCACACACCCCATGGAGGCGGGAGCGTGGCCATGGCTCTGGGAAAGTGGGGACGTGGGCAGGGGTAAGTGGGCCAAGGCTGGGGCCAAAGCTGGGGGTTGGAGTGGACCCTCGGCGCGGAGCTGACCCTTGTCCAGAGGCCAAGGCCTGCAGCCGAAGCTGGGCACAGAGCCCCAGGCGCAGAATGGGCAGCCGGGACCCTGGGCACAGAGCCGATAGCCATGGCTGGGAGCCAATCCCCGGGCACGGGGGCAGCACGCAGGACCCCAGACATGGAGCAGGCAGCTAGGAACCTGGGCACAGGACCAGTAGCCATGGCCAGGAGCAGATCCCCGAGCAAGGGGCCAGCAGCCGGGACCCTGGGCACAGGGCCAGAGACAGAAGTGGAGCTGGGCAGTGCTCCCTCCCTGCCCCCCTGTGGGGGCTGGTCCGAGCCCCAGCCACACAGCCCGGAACATTACTCTGCACTCCCCTAGGGGGCGCACCCCCAGATTGTAGACCTCTCCAGTAGAGGTTCATGCACTAAGCTTTAGTGCAGGGGTGGGGAACCTTTTTTCTATAAGGGGTCATCGAGCCACAGAAAAAGTCAGTCGTGGGCTACACACAGCCTTGAGGGGAGGCTCAGAGGCTCGGGGCTTCTCTCCGCAACACGGTGAGCTGGCGCTCATGACTCCAGCCCCATGGGAGGGCACAGAGGCTCGAGGCTTCCCCTAGGCTCCGGGGTGAGGCCAGAAATGAGGGGTTCAGCGTGGAAGAGGGGGCTCTGGGCTAGGGCAGTGGGTTGGGGTGCAGAATTGGGTAAGGACACCAACTGGGGGTAAGGGCTCTGGGGTGGGGCTGGGGATGAGGGGTTTAGGGTGTAGGAGGAAGCTATGGGCTGGGGCCAAGGGGTTTGGAGTGCGAGAGCAGGATCAGGGCTGGGGCAGGGGGATTGGGGTGCAGGAGGAGGTTCGGGGTATGGGCTCCAGGAGGGAGTTTGGATGTGTGTGGGGTTCCAACCTGTGGCAGAGGGTTGGGGGGGGCAGGTGGGAGTGCGGGGTCTGGGAGGGAGTTTGGGTGCAGGAGTGGGAGACTTGCAGCAGGCTGGATGAAATGAAGCAGCAGGCTGGATCCAGCCTGCAGGTGTAGGTTCCCTATCCCTGCTTCAGAGGTCCCAGGTTGGATCCCACCTGCCAATGACCGGGGTCTATCAGAGTTACATCGACACAAGAACAAATGGATATAAACTGGCCATCAACAAGTTTAGGCTTGAAATTAGACAAAGATTTTTAACTAGCAGAGGAGTGAAATTTTCAGAAGCTGGGAATGGGCGATAGGGCATGGATCACTTGATGATTACCTGTTCTGTTCATTCCCTCTGGGGCACTCGGCATTGGCCATTGTCCGCAGACAGGATACTGGGCTAGATGGACCTTTGGTCTGACCCAGTATAGCTGTTCTTATGTTCTGAAATAGCCTTCCAAGGGGAGCAGTGGGGGCAAAAAAACTAACTGGCTTCAAGATTGAGCTGGATAAATTTATGGAGGGGATGGTATGATTGCCTGCAATGGCATGTCGTCAACCTGCGACTGCTAGCAGCAAATATCTCCAACGGCCGATGATGGGACACTAGATGGGGAGGTCTCTGAGTTACTACAGAGAATTCTTGCCCAGGGTCTGGCTGGGGGGTTTTGTCGACATGTTCAGGATCTAACTGATCACCATATCTGGGGTGAGGATGGACTTTTCCCTCAGGTCAGATTAGGAAAGAACCCAGGAAGGTTTTGCCTTCCTCTGCAGCCTGGGGCATGGGTCACTTGCTGGTTTAAATGAGTGTAAATGGTGGGTTCTCTGTAACTTGAAGTCTTTAAATCATGATTCGAGGACTTCAGTAACTCAGCCAGAGGTTCTGGGTCTATTACAGGAGGAGCTGGGTGAAGTTCGGTGGCCTGTGATGTGCAGGAGGTCAGACTAGATGATCACGATGGACTCTTCTCGCTTTACAGTAAGGGAGCGAGCCTCCCACCCCAGGTAGACAGACTCACACTAGCTCCGCTCGAGCTAGCACGCTGAAAATAGTAGCATGGGTGGCAGCTCAGGCCAGCCACACGAGTCCAAGCCCACCTGGCCCCCTGGTCTGAGTGTGGGTTCTAGCCTGAGCCGTTGCCTATGCCACAACATCCACACTGCTATTCGAGCTAGTGCAAGTCTATCTACTTGGGCTGGAAGCACGCTCCCAGCTGCAGTGTAGACATACCCATCCAGTCCTATGTTCCTAAATCTGGGCCTCATCCATCTCTGCAGGCAAGTGGGATGCAATTTGCACTTTTCTTCAGCCCAGGGGGTAGCTGCACCAGAGTTGGAAAGATTCAACAACTTCAAATTCCTGCCGCAGTGAAGCAAGCCCCAAATTATGGTTGTTATTATTTATTGCCTAAAGTGCAAAACAGATAAAGAGGGATTCCCTTTCCATTCACAGTCTGAGGTGTCCATAATACTCTGTATCCACAGAGATGATGTTCAGGGTCTCCTCCCTTTCAGATGCTGCTCTCTGTGCTGCTGGCTGCGCTGGGAGCTGCAGGAGGGGTATATTGTGTGGTCATCTCATCCTTGGGATTAATTAGTGGGCCTCTTTGTGACACTGGTGATGGACTCTACATCTACCCTTTCCGGAATGACACATTGACGTAAGTATGACGTACTGACTCTTTCAAATTGCAAGGGCCAATTTTTGCACTCTTCTAACAGGAAATCTAGGTTTTTCTTAAACGAATTGATGTTCTGCGCTATCAAATCCTGAATCTGCATTATTCTGAGCGAGCAGGCCCCAGCCGTCCTTCACTTGGTCCAAGTTCTCTGGCTCATTCTCTGGGAAGCTGCCTGCTTTAGTTTTGGAGGACATGGGTGCTTTGTTTCTGTTGCGCTATTGACCAGACTTGTGTGATGGCTGTGCAATACTTTCACGGGACTGTATGAGATTTGAGCCTTGACTCCTATTAAAGTCAAAGGGAGTCACATGGCTAAAACATCACACAGTTGGATGGAAATCTGCCAAATTGAGCCCTCTCCCACATCCCTCTGAAAAGCAATGCAAAAATCTCTCCATTAGCTTTTTGCAAGTGAACGCTGACAACATCTTGCAAAGTAGACTGGAGAATTCTGATGAAACTGGGTGAGATATTGCAACAGATTATGGGCACATTTTTGATATTCTGTGGACTTCTGTATTTTGCCATTAAAATTGTCCTGAAACAAAACACAGGATCTTATGCAAGCAGCCATGTAATGCAAGCCTAATGCTCCATGGCCCTGCACCTTAAGTTGTCAATTACACCTTTCCAAAGTGGGTACAATATGCTACCAGACCACTATGTTAGAGTTTAACATTCACTTTACACTTTGAAAATGACTTCTAAAGATACCAAGGAGAGAATCAGGCCCAATCTTTGACATACAGCTCTTAACAGATGAAGTCTTTTTGAATCACTCTTCATAATAAGTTGTCAATTATTTTTCTACTTACAGAGACAATTATTTGTTTAATCAGACAACATGGAGCATTTGCAAAGAACCTGAAAACGTTATTATGTGGAATATTGTCTTGTTCTCTCTTCTCTTGGGGATTGGTACAATTGAAGCTGTTCTTTGCTTTATTCAAGTCATCAATGGACTTATTGGATTCATATGTGGCACATGCATGAGGAAAAGAAAGGTGAGTATCTGATGTAATATCACAAAGTAAATATTATTTTACAAGTTTTTCAGACTCTATAATTTTAGCCCCACTTTTGACAGAACCATAGTAAATTGTCCTGATAGTGTATAATATCAGATATGTAAACAAATGATGCAAATCTCAAGGACTTTTTAAATAGTTGGACAAATAATGAAAAGTAATGCCCCGTTTAAAAAACATAACACTATTTATTCCCACATGGAGAGGGGACAAAGGGTCTGATGCTGTGGTTATTTAGGACTACCTTTTCAAAAGCGACTAGTGATTTGGGGAATCTCAATTTGCAGGTACTGAATTTGAGCTACATAAAAATATCTGATTTTCAGATAATACTTAGCACCCACCCTCTTAAAAGCAAGTGTCTGAGGGTGGGCACTCAATAACTGAGGCACCCAAAGTCATAAGTCACTTTTCAAAATGTAGGGATTAAAGCCCATCTATGGACATACAGGTTTCAGGGTCATGTTATCTGTGGGTTGTAATGAGGCAGAAAGCTTTTCTTGGCTTGCAAGTCTCTTCTTTTGCAAGAAAAACACCTTTACATTTTGATTTCTCTCCACAAGGAGGTTGTGGGTTTTTTTTTTTGCCATTTATTTTAACTTACTAAGATTCCTGTAGCAAGCCTGATATCCATCTGGAACTTTAATTAACTTGACATTCTTTCCTTCCTTGCCTTTCAGACACATATTGCTGGAATGTAAATCACCTACAAAGAATGCTAGTGACAAGCATAGACCTGCGAGGATTCACGTATAATCATAATGTGTTGTGCTGTATTTGTGGGGAGAGAGGGACCCCAAGATGTTCAGGAGTTTCAGAACAACTCCAGAATATTTTATAAAGATATCTGGATGGGGGGTGGATTATCTAGAACTTTTGAGGTCAAAGATTCTTTTTTGTCTCCTCTAAGTACCCAGACTAAATCTCTGGTATTGGCAACATGATGCTGTCTTTTCAAGAGTGCCTGGCATATATAAACATTCAATCACAAACATTCTCCAATTAAAATTCACTGCTTACCCCGCAAGTGCTGCCCTATGTAGCAAGCATGTCACTTTGAAGTGCTGACTGTTGTATATGGGAATCTGGACTGAATGTAATCATTGCCAATATAAAGATTTATCAGCTTTACTGAATTCATCCACGCTGGTTGGATGTCTAAAGTTGCTTATTAATACTCCCCAAACCCTGTCCTGGCCCTGTGTAAAACTGGAATGGATTCTCTGGCAGTGCTCTGTCTATGTTTGCAGTGTCGTTGTAACCGTGTTGGTCCCAGTATATTAGAGAGACAAGGTGAGTGAGGTAATACCTTTTATTGGACCAACTTCCGTTGGTGAAAGACACAAGCTTTCGAGCTTACACAGAGCTCATCTTCAGGTCATGCTCTGTCTGTTTCTATCACTTTGGTACATAAGCACTGGTCTTCAGTCATTTAAAGGTCTGGCTCAGAAACGGTATTTTCAGGACCTAGCAGTAGCAATGTTGCTTAAATAGTTCCAATATTTGAAGCACATGGAGGCCCTGTGTAGCAGGCAGTTGGCCAGTATCTAACCTGCTTTAACCTCTGTGGAGCCAGCCTTCACTCATACTTCTGTGTGTGCTGTAGTAGGCTGTGGTGGTCTATAAAGTGCCAATGCTCCACTGAAAATCAACACTTCAAAGGCATGTTATATAGCAACCAACTAGTCAATAACTAGCCTCCTAAAAATGTCAGACTCACTTCCAGGGGAGTCTGATATGAACATCCTAGTGTAGAACATTTTCATACTCAGTATTTAATTTTTTTTAAATTGCATTTCTGATCATTCTTGTGTACGCTTTTCTGAGAAGCTAGCCCCGAAAGGCACCAAATGGCATCATTCTCAGTACTACAGCAAGCACTGAATCCACAAAGTGCTGCGTGTGAGATCAAGCCCTAAATGCTAAATCCGTGTGATTGCTAAAATCTGTGATTTCAGGAGTGAATTCTTTGTCATTTTATTGGCCACTTCAAAGGTTAATTCCTACAGTTGCCACTGATTCTTCTGCTTAAGACAAAAAGTAGTAAGATATTTTACATATATATCAGAAGCTCTTCAAAACTGCATAACTGTAAAGTTAGGTTACTTTGGATCTGTTTTGTGAAAGGAGGAACCTTTGTTTCCTCTTTCAAAAATGTTTTGACTACGGCATTTGATCACACAAATGGGCATTTTTCCCTGTGCCCATTAGGAATTTGCACACAGAAGTATCCGGTCACTCGTGCTGTCACCTGACATATGCATGCAGATCCCTAATTTGAACAAATAAATGCTGGTTATGTTCAGGCAACAGGTGTATTTTAGGGGGTGCAACTTAAGCACCAATATTTGAAATTTTTGCCCATCATGTTTTAAAGCATATTCTCTTAAATAAAAAGCATGAGAGAAATACACAGGTTGGCCAAGGTTTTCAAACACAAATAAAGGATTTGGATGCATCCAAATTCTTTAAGTGGCTCCGAAAGTTCCACCTTCATATGCAGTGAAGTATGCAAGGGGCTATGATCAGAGATGAGGGGCACAGTACTACTGTCCCTTTTACTGCAGCAATCTTTTTATTTTAAAACTGCTGAAAAATTAAATAAAATGCGGCGCTTTCTTTGGCTAAATTGTGTAAATTTTGTCCTTTCACTGCATGAAAACGCACTGCAGATTACCCTACATTTAACAATTTAAATGCGTTGCTTATTGTCATGTCCTGAGAAATGTGCAGCTGCTGTAGAGTGACCTGTATGAACGTGCTTCTAGTGTATTAAACCCTTTGAGCCTGATTCTCAGTTACACTAAGGGGCCATAGTGTAACTGAGAATTCAGGCCTTTGTTCCTAGCACTTCAGCAGTGCTTCACAGCCAGTGTGCGATCAAATGGTTCACAGCCACAGTGCTGCAGCCATGAGTTTACGCAGACAGAACCTGATAGCAACCAGCTCCTTTCACCCACCTCTCCTCTTCACGCAGGTCCATGTGTCTGCCCCACCCTACACAAGCTGTCATGAAGGCCCTCTCCTAGGCCAGCTGGCCTGACCCTCGCCTGACTTTAAGCCACTGATTCCCCTTTCCTTGCACCACTCAACTCTCCAGACATGCCCATAGTGCTGCTTGCTTCACTACTGCCTGCCTGCTTCTCTTTTACTATCTGCTACTCCCACTCTCCTGTTTCTTGCCTACCCCTCTGCTCTGGCTTCTGGCTGCTCCTGCTCCTAGACTCACCCTCCTCCATCACTCCAGCTCTGACACAGCCAATCATCAGCCACCTGACCACCCCGCACCCACTCTACCCCAACTAGCCTCCCACTTAATGCTATTTCTCCCCACCTCCCAAGGAAACCAGACATTAACTGGCTGGAACAGGTTACACTCTATTATGAAGAGCTGCCTCGTTAGATGTTGTTGCTTCAAATGAGTTTCTGCAGTGGAAGCAAAGTAAGTGAACAGGCGGCTTGCTGCTAAGAGTTCGGTTGCAAAGAGGGGAGATGTTAGGGAAAAGCCTATCTTGAATATGGGTCAGGCAGGAGCTTTGGCACAGGGGAACTGCTTTGTATGTGTAGCTGTGACCATGAAACTTGGGAGAACTTATTGGAAAAGCATTTTCAAGGAAAAGCTGCTTTGAAACTCATGTAAAGAAACAATAACTAATTAGACAACTCTTCATAAAACACTATAATCTCTTACATTGCATTACAGCAAGCAGGAAGGATAAAACAATCACTAACAAACTCTACTGAGCCTGTAGGAAAAACGTTAACTCTGTTAACAAGGGAACCTAGACTCTGTCGGAACTGGGCAAATTATTCATTGTGAATACAATTTCTTTGCAAATTTACCCTTTTCTTCTGTTTGCAAATTATTCCTGTGCTGACCCTGATTTCTGTCGCTTTATTCATTATTCAGATGTATTTGTCAAGTAGTTTAGGCAAACAAATTTCAGCCTATCAGATATTCATGAGCAATCTACTAGGACTGGTCACTTAAGTCACATGGTATCATTTCTGCTCCCTGATTGGATGATTGAAACTTTTTAAACAGGAGGAGAAGAGATGATGAAAAAAACACACTTCTAATGTTCTGATGAATATACAGACACTGTGGTCACTAGTGGGGAGTAGGGTTGCCAACCCTCCCAGTCTCGCCGTGAGTCTCCCAGAATCAGGCTCTATCTCCTGGAAGCTATTGAAGCCAAACCAGGAGATTTTAGGTGCTAAAAGTCTGGCGGCGCAACGGGGCTAAGGCAGGCTCCCTGGCTGCCCTGGCCCCGCACTGCTCCCGGAAGCAGCCAGCATGTCCCTGAGGCCCCTGGGGCAGGGCAAGGGGTCTCTGCACGCTGCCCCCACCCTGAGCGCCTACTTTGCAGTTCCCATTGGCCGGGAACTGCGGCCAATGGGAGCTGCGGGGCTAGTGCCTGCGGGTGGGTCAGTGCACGGAGCCTCCCTGCCTCCACCCCCACCTAAAAGCTGCTGCCAGAGGGATTTGCTGGTCACTTTCGGGAGCCACCCGAGGTAAGCGCCTCCCACACCCCAACTCCCTGCCCCAGCCCAGAGCCTGCACCCCGCACCCAAACTCCCTCCCAGAGCCCGCACCTCCTCTGCACCACAACTTCCTGCCCCAGCTTGGTGAAAGTGAGTGAGGGTGGGGGAGAATGAGCAACAGAGGGAGGGGGGATGGAGTGAGTGCGGGTGGGGCCTAGGAGAAGGGGCGGGGCAGGGGGCAGGGCAAGGGTGTTTGGGTTTGTGCGATTAGAGAGCTGGCAACCCTAGTGGGGATGAAACCTACGTCTTTTAGCACCAAACCCACAGGCTCTACCATTTTACCTGAAGGAGTAACTCCTTCAGCTGTGAGTATGCAACAGGCTGTTATAATTGCTGGGGCCAGCTATTAGAGGGAGGCACAATCACACACACACACACACACACCACAGCCAGTGCATTACACGCATATTTCTGAAACCTTCAGCAATCATGAAGTTTAAATGAATTCCCAGTAGCCACTCAAACACTTGAGAATGATTAATATTAGGGCCCTGTACATGACTGTGAACCAAACCCAACATTTTTATTCACAAAAATATATACCAACTACTTTGTGGCTTATTTGACCAGCTCTTCTCCCAGCTCAGGAATAGTCTGTTAGAGCCAGGCAACCAGACATCAAAGGGAAGATGGCAGCCCCTCGATTCAGATAGTCGGAATCCACATGGCTGTTGAAGACAGTTTCTATGTCCTCGGACAACTCCGAGTGCGATGTCGTTATTAAGAACTGGTATAGCCAGGAGATCAAACAATTCCCTCACGTAAAGGGGTCAGAGAGGCAGATCAGTGATTACACAAGCATGTATTCAGAGTGTGAGAGAGAGAATCCAGCAGACATGTGCAAGCTCCAGGGGTTCTACTGACCTTAACAAGCCTAAAACGTCCATCCTGATCAGCTCACATAAACAGTCACTGAAGGTTTTGCTGCCTGGTGACCGTCTCTATGCACAAGTCAGCCCTGCTTGTGCCAGCACTCAGAGAAAGAAACTGACCTGTTTGATCTCTAGCATAAGTAAGAAAAGCTAAGTGTATTTCTGTAATCTCTTTGTTACAAGTTCTCCTGCATTAGAGGTGTTTAATGTAACGTGTATGTGCTCATGTAAATCACTATTTGTTTGTCTTATCCACCGTGGGATCATTTGTTTTATGAAAGGTTTCAGAGTAGCAGCCGTGTTAGTCTGTATCCGCAAAAAGAAGAACAGGAATTTGTTAGTCTCTAAGGTGCCACAAGTCCTCCTGTTCTTCTTTTTGTTTTATGACTATCTGTAAATATTAAATATTATTCTAAAGGTATTTTCTAGTTTGATTTGTGCTAGGGTGACCAGCTGTCCCAATTTTAAAGGGACAGTCGCTATATTCAGGGCTTTTTCTTATGTAGGCATCTATTATCCCTCACCCCGTCCCAATTTTTCACACTTGCTATCTGGTTGCCCTAGATCCTGATGGGAACCTTGGCTGTGATCGTCTCCAAAGGGAGCTAGGGGACTGAGTAAGAACACAGTCCCCTGGGGTTTTGCGTATGTCTAGAGGTCAGGCCTGTAACTGAGTAGCTGATCCATTATATGAAACTGGGCTCAGCTCCACTGTTCCAGTTCAGGTGCTCCCAGATGGGCCAAATAAGTGGGCAGGGCAGCACCTGGGGCCTATAGGAGACCCGGTGAGAAAGAGACCCAGAGAGGCTAAAACAAAGGGAATGAACTTTACTAGCAGAAAGATTAAAGATGGGTATATTTATATCTTTATGGAGAACAGGTGCACGCAGTTTTAAATTTTGGAGTATATGGTTTGATAATAAACTTACGTGGAAGGGCCATATAGGAAGTATTATAAACAAATGTAAAGGTAGGATTAATCTACGTAAAAGTATTGCTGGTAGCAGATAAGAAAGTCCTTGTTGTTAGATGTTAGATAGAGCGTTAATAAGATCAGTCATAGATTATGGGTGTCAAGCATTGAGTTCTGCATCTGGATTGGACCTTAAAAAGTTAGTCAGTTCAAGCTCAAGAGCTATGAATTGCAGGTAGTGCATTTCTTAGGACACCTCTGGGTGTAATGTAGGTAGCTACTGGAGAAATTTAAGAATGAAAATATCAGATCTGACACTTTGGGCTGAAGTGAAGGGAAATAGTGCAGATAAGAAAACTGGACAAATATACAAGGAATCTTGGGAATAAGGCAGACAACATTTTGCCCAATCCAATAAACTCCTTCATACTCCTAGGGTTAATATGTGGGTAAAAGAGTTAAGTGAAAAGGAAGAACTAGGAGAGATTAAAATTATGATTGTGGGGCAGTAAATTATACTGGGAAAATTGTCCCTCTGGATGTGGATTTAGAATTATATAATAAAATAAAGGGAAAGAAAGAGTCATCCTATATAACAGATAAAGTGTACGAGTGTGAATACAGTAACAGAGCCACCATTGATGACTATATACTGACAGATCTAAAGATGAAAAAACTGATAGAGTGGGATCAGCCTTTTGCATCCCTGAGATGGGAGTTAAGAAATCTAAAATAATAACTAATTTGGTAACTATTATGACAGCTGGGTTGATGGGAATGGTGTTAGCACTGGATACAGGACATATGGCCTACTGGAGCTGTTACCTTTTCAGATTCACGGACCAGCCAGACACCTGGGAAAGAATTCTCTGTAGTAACTCAGAGACCTCCCCATCTACTGTCCCATCATTGGCCATTGGAGATATTTGCTGCTAGCACTCACAGATTGGCTACATGCCATTGCAGACAATTGTACTATCCCCTCCATAAATTTATCAAGCTCAGTCTTGAAGCCAGTTAGGTTTTTTTTCCCCACTGATCCCTTTGGAAGGTTGTTCCAGAACTTCACTCCTCTGATGGTTAGAAACCTTCACCTAATATAAAGCTGTAGTGAGGCAGCCTGGTTCCCCGCCGCCCCGGAGGGGGACGAGCCCCTCCAAACGACAAAGTGGGCGGAGCCAGTGGAGCTTGCGCCTGCCGCCCAGAGGTCAGGGCGCAGGACAAGAAGTACAAAAGCCCAACCCCAGAGCTCACTAGAGGCCCAGCCACCGGAGAAGCCAGACGCCTGTGGCCTAGCTCCTGGTTGGGAGACTCATGCAGTTTGTGGCCGACCCGAGGACTGGCCAGATGCCAACCAGACGCCGGAGAAGCTGGTAAACCTGCCTGTGGCAAGTTACCCAGAGGAGCTGCCAAGCCTACCGCTCACCGGGTACCCAGAGGAGCCCATGGTGCTTGATTCCTTGGAAGACTCCGTCCAGATGCAGGTACCTCTAGAGGGAGGAGGTAGGAAGTAGCCTGGGGCAGCCGACTCTAGTCTGGCTGCAGCACACCCAGAGCCGATGTCAGTGTGTTGCAGCTAGGATCCCCACTGACGCAGCAGCGAGTCTTCTGCCGCTGCTAGTGCCCAGGGCTGGGACGCAGTGGAGTGGGCGGGCCTGCGTGTCCCCCCCTGCCACCCACCTTATGGGTGGCAGTCTCCTCCTATCCCAGGCCGCTCGGAGCCAGGACCTGGGCCTCCTAAACTTATTTGTTTGCTCAGGCTTTGCCTGAGGACCTGAGCTCCTGACTGTTTGTCGCCCCGCCCTGACTCAGGGCCGGTTATTGAATTGTTTGCTCAGCCCCTCCCTGAGGGCCTGAGCTACTGACTGTTTGTTGCCCTGCCCTGCCCCAGGGCCTGGGCTTGGTAATATTAAACTATTCGCTCAGCCCCTGCCTGAGGGCCTGAGCTGCTGACTGTTTGCCGCACAGCCAAGCTAATTCCCCGACTCACCTGACCTAAGTAGTGAGGCAGCCTGGTTCCCCGCCGCCCCGGAGGTGGACGAGCCCCAGCCGAACCCCTACAAAAGCCTAAACTTGTTGATGGCTAGTTTATATCCATTTGTTCTTGTGTCCACATTGGTGCTTAACTTAAATAACCACTCTCCCTCCCTGGTATTTATCCTTCCGATGTATATATCTGTACTATGTTTTGTTAATAAACTATGTTGATGGAGTAGAGGTCATGCTTCAATAGAATTACTGGGGACCCAAAAGGGAAACTGAGGCAATGAGCCACCTGCTGACCTGCCCCAGGCCACACATTTACAATACAGACCAAAGTGGGGACATGTAATCTAGAATTTGTGCGGCAAGTGCTCAAGAAGATAACCAGATGCTTTGCATTGAGCATATCTGCGCATTACAATGGAGCGTAGGTGCCACAGGTCAAATGGTAAGAATATATCTGTCTATATTAGGCATTTATTATTCATTTTCTTAGTGTCGTCTCTCAGCACTCTATATAAAAGACTGAAATAAAGCATGTTCCATTCTGAATGGACTATACTTTTCTTGCTAGGCTGAAGCTCACCCATAGCTACATTCAGACTCTGAAATGCACTTGGAGAAAAGAAAAGTTCCTAGAAATGATTTGAGCCTTATTATTATTTAATAATCATTTGGGCCTTATTAAATTCTTTGGGGAATTTTCTATGGTCTGCACTATACAGGAGAACAAACTAGATGATCACAATGGTCCCTTGTGGCCTTAGACTCTATGATGTCCTTCTATTAACAGAAGAAGATCAACCAGGAAGACTAATGAAATACCATACTCAAGCCTCAAACTATACCTAAAGAGGCCAAGAACACCAGATATTACCCAAGCTGCTTCATCACAACGTGCTCGGTAATGTACTTCATAAAAGGAAGC